GAAACCGCACTCACGGAACGGAGATAACAGTCCGAGTGTCCCAGACCGAGAGCTGACCGGGGTGGGGGGGGAAGGCCTTGGGAGAGTGACCACCTAGAGTGAGGTGACCTGGAGCAAAAGAGATCCAGAACCAAAAGGGACGATCTTCCGGAGGGTCCTGACCTATATACTGGGCATGACGTATATGTTATGGAATAGATTATTGGCCACTTTGGGTCTCAATCCTGAACCTAAGATCAAATCCTGGGCTAGTAACTGGGGCTGTGCTCCCTCCCAGCTTCTCCTGTTTGCAGACAGCCAGAGAAGCTGAAAGACCTTGGCAGCCGCATAAACATCACTTTTTATCAGCATTCTTCTGAGCACAAATCCAAAACACAGCCTCTTGCTAGCTATTATGAAGAAAGTTAACTCTGTCTCAGCTTAACCCAGGACAGTCTTAAACCCTCTATTGGGCAGGAATGAGTTGTCTGCGTTGTTTTGGTGGAGAATGCAGAATGTGTTGTCATTTGACCCGATGGAAATTTGAATGCTCCTTTTTGCAGATGAAATGTTAGTGCGTTACAGTGTTGCTGTGCTACATGACAGATGCACTGATAAATGATGAGTGAGAGTCCTTTTGGTCTGGGTTCTGGACAAACATGCCAAGGAGGCAGAATTTGCTTTTGTGTGTTATTGCAATAGAGTAGAAATTTGCAGGAAGGAGTATTACCAAGAGTCTCTAGTTAGCAAAACTTGAGGAGCAGATCTTGTCCAAACTTGCATAATGTGACCATGTCAAAGCCAAGAAAGAAATCAAATGTCCTGACTGTTCATCATCATGAGGCCATTCCTCTGAGGTTTCATTTTTTTCCTTAAACAGGGAAAAAGAAGGATCTGTTCAGTCCCTGGGGTGCCACAGTATGGTCTCCCACTACTCCTGGGCGTTCTACTTTCAGCACTGGAATGTTTCTGTTCTTGTTGCTCACTCAAGGATTTAAGCCATTTATTTTGTTTATACTAGAGTTCTGATGGGAAGGCAGATGTTATGTGGGAAAACTATTTTCCGGATCTGTTTTTCCCCATTATGTGGAATCTCACAGACCACCACTAGCAAATAGCTATGAGGCATCAGCTTTGAGATATTGGCATTTTCAGAAGAGGCAACGTATTCGTTCTTGTAAGTAGCTTTGCACCAAAACCAAGGATTTCTTGGCATGCTTTGGCTTGGTGTTTAAAATGGATATGAGTATATCTTTGTTTCTGTATAGTCATTTGACCTTTCAAAATATTGGTATTTTAGGAAATGGTCTGTATTTGTTCATGTCCGACAATAAACAGCTGACTTGAATTCTCAAAATACATCCTCTAAGCAATACTTAGCTATGAAGAGATGGTTCTAAATCTCATTTGAATGCCTGTATCCAAAGCTAAAAATCAAAGTTTTCACTTTTAGCCATCTTCCTTTACCTTGACATCTCAAGGTACTTCAGGGAACTTAGCAAATAAATTGTGTGCTGTTAGGGCAGCAGAACAGCTGAAAAGGGCAAGCCTTCAAGTTCTAAAGAATTCCTGTTTCAAAACATAATCGCCAAGATCTGGCCTTTATCTTTTTTCTGCTGATACTTTCCAGCACTGATTTCACAACAGGCTGAATCGACAAATTCTTCAGATTTTGGAGGAAACAAGTTAACATATTAATGTTTTATCAGGAAAGAATCCTAACTGGGTATCCATGCACTTGTGAAGACAAGAGAACTGCTTACTCCTGGATATCTGTTGTTCTCGCCAAGAATCTGTAGGCTTGCAAATTGCCAAAGCCACATGGGTTGAGAGAGCAAAGTAAACACTGCAGAAAGGCAATTTTTGCATTTTCTTCTCGTTCAGCCAAAGACATCAGATATAGATGGAAAACACTTTACTCCTTAGGGGAAGGATAACCACAAAACTAGAACAATTTTTTTTTTTTTATTGTAAAGAAAATTTATATAAGCACACACAGTAGCATGTGTTTGAAAGCAGCAAAAATCTTAATTATTTTGGGATTGCCTTGGCAGTCTGTCTGAATGCCTTTGGGGGTGGTTCCCTCACAGGTTGCAGTGCAGGGCAGATCGCAGTTGACCCTCTTTGGAGCTGCAGCCTGGCTTCCAAGAGGCAAGGCACCTTTCTCCCTTGCAGCACTCTGCATGGGCTCTTGGTGTGCAAACAGCCTGTTTCTAGGGTATTGGGTCTCTTCTAGTCTCAAGTGCATGGGGAGAAATGTTTTGCAGAAGGTTTCTGGCCAGTTCCAAAAGCGAGGAGAAAGTATGCGATGTTTAGAAATGGTGAGTCTTGAGCCCGATTAGCGAAGTATTGTGTTTCATCGTAGCAACAGTTGTGCGATGAGTTGTCAGCAGTGGCTGCTTCTGTTTCATACTGTGGGTAGTAAACACTGCAAGGGTGAGCTATGAGAGTCTCGGGAAGCCTCATACTACTGGTTTTATCACTGTGGTCTGGTTTGTTCAACCCTATTTTAAATGGGACAGAAAGTGCCACGTGAGTTCACAGCTTGCCTGTGCATGCTGTGGAAGATGGGAAATCTTACTCTCCTAGCTTTCTGCTTAGGACCAAATTTGTTTAGCAGAAAATTGCTTTAGATGTGAAAGTTAGGGAAGGACTGCAGCACTTAGTATTGTGAATTTGTGCCCGTGGCTCTGGAGGTAACTGGGTGCTCTGCTGAGCCTGTCTGTGAGTAACTCGGGATCCTTGTGCCTCTCTTCCCATTTAAAAATTAGGATTACAGCACTTCTCTTTAAGGAAAATTGTGGGGATAAATCCAAATAGTGATTGTGAGGTGCTAAGGTGTCATGAGGAAGGAGCCATTTAAAATCATAGATCTATGTAAAAAACATTTTTCTTCAGTAGTTGCCAGGGAGTGTAACCCCAGTAACGGGAACCTGTGGCTTTTGTGTACAGCCTTGACACCTCCTGGGGAGTCCCTGGTTGTTGGAAAACCACATTTCACCAGGTGTTACTTATTTAATGGTTGTGGAAAGAGATAACAAACACTTGGGTTTAATTAATCTTTGATCCGTATCTGCAGGCAGAGTGGGATGGGGTTGTGACATTTTTGGCCACTCCTGTGTATCTGAATGCAGCCCTTGGAGGTGTAGGGCGCTGCAGGGCCCCTGGCAGCAGGCTTGACGAAGGCAGGTTAATCGTTTTGTGTGCCCACGTGGCAGTCGGGGAGTACAGGATCGGTCTTCGCCCAGCTTGGTGGTGAACGGGACCTAACAGAGTTAAAGAACGTGTTACTCTGCTTTCCAAGGGTAACGACAAGTATGTTTAGAAATAAAAATTATGCTTCATGTCTGCTGAGGAGCCACGGCAGCGCTTGGACTGACTTGAACCCTGACAATCTCTCCATTGACAGAAACCTGTCAGAGGCTATTGGCCTTCAGGTTTCTTCCCTGTGAAGCTCTTCTGTGCCTGAGGCTTTGAAGAGATGGCGTGAAGCTCCTCCTGGGGTGAAGGAGCGCAGTCCGACTCCAGCTTTGCCTTTGCATGGTTTTGTACGAGTGCCCAAGGGCTGCAGCAAAGCTTGTGTGACATTTGCCATGCAGATGGAGTCACCCCTTCATGAACATCTGTCCTGTCCCTGCAACGAGTCACAGAATGATTGTACGATTGGGCTTTCTGTTTAAAAATGTTCATAAGAGGCTTTCAGTTATGTAGAAATAGCTACTTGGAACCCAACAGTGATTTTTGAGAGAGATCTAAAACGTAATTTTTTTGAGAGTGCATGTACATATTTATTCATTGCTACAATCAGGCTTTTTGTTTGTTTTTGCATAAGTATTAAATGGGAGAATAATACATAATCAGCAAAAGTATATTAAAAAGAAAAATCCATTATAATTTTTTTGTTTTCCTTCAACAGACATACATTGGCAGCGTGGTGATATCAATAAACCCCTACAGATCTCTACCCATTTATACTCCAGAGAAAGTGGAAGAATACAGAAACCGAAACTTTTATGAACTCAGCCCTCACATGTAAGTACAGTGAAGAAGTTTTAGTTTTCATTCTGTCCTGAAACAGATGGTAGCAGCTGTCTCTCTCATCAAAAAGGTCTGTGTTGATTAAAGAAAACAAAACAAAAATCACACCACCACTTCCCCAAAATGAATTTTTATTAGTTAATCCCTATTTTAAAGAGAAGTCAAGATAAATTTGTCTTTTTATTTCATATATTTAGATCCTGGTGTGTGCATTTCAGAACATTTTCCTGTAATTGTTAGCAGTAGCCTTTATTACTGTATTGTAAAGTTAGCAGTCTGTTTTCGAGGAAATCTGTGTCTTTCAAAGTCCAGATTGCCTTGTGAAAGCCTCTAGGTGTTAAAAATTTGTAATGTGGTGTTACTTTTGATATCTGAAGCTCTTAATTTCTCTTTGCACAATGCAAAAAATGAAAAAGCACTCATGATGAATGCAGAAACATATTGTATATGTCTGCATGGTAACTGGAGAAAATGACTATTTGGTCTCCTCTCCTCTGTGCTGGGTGGAAATGGGCCCATCCTAAGAGGACAGCTGGAGCGCCATAAATATATAATGCAAATGTTTAAAGCTAAAATATATAGCATATATACAGACATATAATATTGCAAAATAGGATTTACATATGATGTAAATTAAATTTAGGAACAGAAGGCTGGGGAGTAGGTATAATCTCTTATTCTGACTTTCATTCACCTTCTGTAATTCCTCTAGAGGGTTGCATATTGCAAAGAAATCAAAGGCCTTGCCCTGTGGTTACAGAGAACTGACGTGGCCTGTATGATTTGGGCCTGGTTAAGCCCTGTCCATCACAGGGCAAGAAGCTGATCACAAGTATGGGTGGTATGGCAGAAAATTAGGTACCTTGTCTTCAAGGTCTGTATGTTGCAGTAATCATTTTATCTTGTTAGACATCATAGTGGTGAGGTTAAAGCCACCTGTTCCTCTCCTTGGAGAGTGATGCTGGGACAGAGAAGTGTTTCCAGTGCGTTGTGAGGTTGCCATCTGACTGCAGTCACATATTCAGGGGACTGACTTGAGCGATCAGTGATCGGATAAGTGTCTAAACATGGCCATAAGTTTATGCATCTTCCTTCAGTGTTAGCTTTTAGGTTAAAAGCAAATTATGTGTGGAAAGAGTTCTGGAAATTCTTTTGTTCTGATTAAGTTTTTACCTTCACACTTCATCTGTAACTTTTCCTGATACATTGTCTGAAATGCAGACAGCCAGTTAATCAGATCAAATAAGCTTCTGGTAGTCCTTGGCCCTCTTGGATCTGAACTCTGGCTACATTCAGGTTTTCTTTCTTCACAGTTTTGTTTAGCAAGCACAATTACTTGCTAAATTAACACAGTTGCTTGCTAAAAGAACTTTCTGCTCTGCTAATTTTGTTCAGCTGCATAAAATATGCTGTCATAATAGAGGATTTTAAAAATAAAATCAAGGAGTTACAGTTTGTCTGACATTCTGAAAGTCAGTATTATGTACTTAGTTACATGTTGAATCAAGTACATAGATCTCCACATTTTTTCCATCTCTCTTGAGAGATGGTGTTCCAGAATAGAAGCGGTCAGCAGTCGTTCTTGTATGTGTTATGAGAGTCTTAACTTGGTAGAAAAATGTTTTGTAAACATCATTCATCACTAATGACAATGATTGTATGGTCAGGCTGCCATCTCAGAGCAAGAACAAGGAGCCCAAACACCAGAAATCCACTTTAAGAGCAGCAGTTTGAAGTGAGAAAATGTTGAATTTTAACTTATGTCAGGAGATCTCGACTGCGTGATAGTAATAGGTTTTCCTTGCAAGTTTGGAGAGAGTGCCAAGTCATGAAAAGCTAAGACTAATTTGTCTTGGACAGATATGATGTCTCCATGAGTTTTCTTTAGTTGGTATGAAAATTTTGTTTTCTTGCACCTGCTAAGTAGACAACATGTCTTTAAAAATACAGAATTATGAAGTAATCTTTGTTATGGTTTCTTTTACAGATACAGTGTTTTATTTTCAAACTGTAGACATATAAAATGATCTTACCTTATGGTGACCTTGCCTTCCTTCCTGCCTGTCTGTACATGCTTACAAGGACTGCAGAATCTAGAGAGTTGCTTTTGTCTCTGCTAAAATTGTCAAACTTCTCACCATCTTTAAAAGATACTTTAAAATATTGTAGATGCCTAAAATAAGGGCTCACTAGACTGCCTTACACCATCTCCGACAAGCCTAAACAACTTTTAATCCCCTTTAACGTATAGTGCCTTGTGCTGTAGCCTGAGGATTCACGCCAGTCCCCATGTTCACTCAGTGAACACAGAGATGGTACGTGAAGGCTGGTTAATAGACCGCGAGGTGAGCTTACAGGGTGACCATTGGGTCCTGCTGCAGCTGAGCCTAGACTGATCACCAGAGGGGTGCTTGCCTACCATGCTGGTCAGTAGAGGCCGAGAACTGGGTTTGGGACAGAGCCGGCATCATCCCAGCCTTAGAGCTTGCAGCTAATTCTAGGTTTGGCTGATCTGGGGCACAGGAGGCCACTGTTAAAAGCAGGGTTCAGGCATATCTCGGGAGGTTGCTGCACTTCCACAGAGACCTTGCAGTCTTCAAGCTGGTATTTTTTTTAGCTGCTCAGGAACTTTAATGAAGAGATGCATTGCAATTTGTGGTATTTCTTCTGACGTGGAGGTAAAAAACCCCACATTGATTTGTGGAGATGTACATACTTATTTTTCTTTGATGTGTAAATCTCCATTGAGCCATGGCCTCTTCAGAAGAATTGATTGTGGGTAAGCCCACTGTACCATTTAAGTGTATTTTGGGAAAAGACTTTTGGTTCCTATTGCATAATCCTGAGAAAAGCAAAACTCTTGACCATTTATAAGGAAACTAATGCATATGACCTAGAAAGTGTGTCTAGAAATAAAATGATATATAGTGTGTTTCTTATCACAGCATCTCCTTTGTACAAATAATGAACATAATTTTGTTACTAGTGACAACTAGAAAAATGCAAACAATTTCTTGCAAAAAATTTCCAGCAGTGGTGTGGTTTGGTTTGAGATTCCTATAGAAACCAAGTCTGTATGGCACCAAAATTCTTCCGTCAGAAAAAAATGTTGTCACCTGTTAACATGGTAGCTCATGTTCTACAAGGTCTGTCTTTTTGGAGACAACCTTCAGGTTTGGGAATCACAGGTTTTAAGTATCAGCATCTGTGGAGCAGACTGCCATGGTACATTCCTGGCTCTGTGTGGGAGCTCCTGGGACATGAGGAATCTAAATCATGTTTTCCTTATTTTCGAGTCGTTTCGTATGACCCTCTGTCTCTGCTTGAGGTATGTGCATGCGTTTAGATGTGATGGATTGATATAGGGAGGATGTGCTTGAGAATGCCAACAGTCCCAGTAAAATAGCAGGCTTTGTGAGTAAATGAAAACGTAAGGAAAAAGAGAAGTATATAATGACATGAAGGAAATTAATCCTTAGAGGGTTTTTTTTCCATACAGGGTCGTTGAAGGAAACATACACCCATGGGAACAAAAATCTGTTCATGTGTTTTCTTAGCCCTCATCTGAAAGATGAGGGAGTGAACACCTAGTCGTCTGCTCTGTGTTTCCTCAAGAGCGTCTGCGGGAGTGACTGACGCTTTCAGTGACGCTAGTTAATACTTAATTGCAGGCTTTGGGTGTTTTTATGTGTTGGGTTTTTTTGTTTTAAAGGTCTTCGGAAACTATGGAGTAAGGCCACAGACACATTTTGAATGGGCAGACAAACTGAATTTCTGGCAGAAAGCTTCTGGTCAGTTGATTTTGGATGGTGTTATACCTGATAAAATTTGATCAAAGAGATTTTATTTTAATAGTTCATTCCTCTCTAAATACACAGCTGTTGTTGTGGCACCATGTAATAAAGTGTTGCTTTTCTAGGCCTCCTGAATGCTTGTTTTCATTTCATACTGCTATTTGCATAGCTGTAATAGGAAGTTTACCAAACTTTTTAATTGTTGGGGTTGTTATTTTTTTTTCTTCAGTGTTTTGTTAGTCTTGCTGGTTTTGTCTTTATCTGCAAGGCAGGATCAAACTTGTCTGACTTGACAGGGCAGAGTATGACATTTTGGTGTTCAAATAGTTTGCTACTTGATTCGTGCAGTCCTTATGCTGCTGTTCTGCTCTCTCAGTTGATGTAATTGCTATTTCAGTTGATGTAATTGCTGTTTTGCTTACTTTGTGGGTAACTTAGACATGAGAGAGAACCAAGCCATTTATCTTGCTAATTCACATTGACTTCTACCAGTGACAAAGGCAGCTGCTGGCATCTTCAAAGTGAAGGCAATAGGAAATAAATAGCTTATCAAACCATTTATTTTTAACCATCGTGCCATATCACTTGCCTACCAGGAACAGATTTGCTTTAAGAGATTGCAGAGTAGGTGCTTTCTTGCATTTCCTATCTTTAGCATGGGCTCCTGGCTACCAGCAGCTCTCTGTCTCTGGGAGGCAGGGTGGCAGCTGGCTTTTTGCTCCCCTTCATCTTCTGAAACACCTTACCTGCTCACTGTAGGAGAGTCACAGATTATTTTAAGTTGAGGGACAAAATAGAAAGTGGCAAGTGTACTCCTAACAGCAAGCTACAAGCAAATAAGAGCTCAGAGTGAACGTTCATTTTTTTAGCTATGCACTGAAGTGTTTATGGCAAATAACTGGGACAGCAGGAAAATACCTGGAGAGGGCTTTTATCAGACATCTGTTGCATTCCACTTAGGCAATTTTGCCATATATTTTACTTACTTGTTATTAGTTCTTTTGAGTCAAACATTTCTGAAGATATAATAGTTTTGCATTAAAAGCTTTCAAATTTAGACAGACTTAAACTTTTGCAGGCAACTCCTGCAAACCAGTTTACCTTCATGTAAGATACAAGCACAAAGATATCAACCTGATGCCTATTAAAATGCAAGAATGTGGAACTTAATATGTTCTCCATTTCAATGATCATGAATAA